GCAGTGCAATACGAGCGACACTGTGTCCCCTGACATAGGCAAGCCCAGCGGCCAGCGGACGGTTTCCAAAGACTAGATTAATCGGAAGAAGCCCCGTAGGGCCGTCCCAGCGATTAAACTGAGAAGAACCTGAGAAGATTGTTAGCAGTGAAATCAAGAGGAAGAGTGAGAAAGAAGGAGAACGTACAGATACTACACTTGATCGAAGCCAAAAGGCACTGCAGAGATTGTTAGCAAGAGTTGAAAAGTTGAAAGGATAGGAGTGAGGTCGAAACTTACAAGAAAGCTGGAAAATCGAGGAAGGTCGGGGGGCGGCCTTCCTTATATACCTGACAGAAACTGCAAATTCCTTAGCGCCTTGGCAGCTCCTGCGCAAGTTGTTGCCTAGAATTCAGGAATGGAATCTCATGGAAGGTCGTGGAATGGTGTAGTGAAGGTGCACGTGTGAGAGACTTGGTGCGCGGGTCGGGCTTCGACCGTACACGTGACTGAGCTACCACTCCGCTCCGAGGGCAGCGTCGCTCATCAGACATCGAGCAGAGTTTCAGGTGGTATGGTTCTTTCTCATGTAGGTCTAATCTTGTTTGCTTTCCCGTTTAGTTTCATTTCTTGGTCCACTTCACCAGTACATGTGTCTCTAAACTCTCTCCGTCCTCGGACTTACTAGTCAACGTTACAATTGCCCGGACCAACGTCAACGGCTCCACTAGCATATCGTTCGGAGGATTCCCTCATACCTCAGGTGGTTGAGAAAGTTGGAAGAGTCCAATATGTACGGGTTTCGAAGATACAGCAAGTACAGAGGCCTCACGCTTAACTGACCTTGGAACGGCGGATTACGGCGAACTCTCCCCGCAGCAAAGCACCAGAATGCGGGCATGTACGGTCTGGCCTCTATGCATTCACCTTAGATTCTTTAATCCTTTGCCTAGGCGCGTTTGTCGTTCTCCCCATTATACCGCTTCATCCTGCTCGTGCGCTATGATCATTTACCCCGATCTTGCTTCAGCGGGCGTCGGGCCACTGGGACAGAAAAGACGGCTACAACAGAGCCGTTGCCAATGGTGGGCTGTCATGTCTCCCAGGGGAATTCAAATTAGCCGCCCATGCTGTCAACGGGGGCGTTGACCGTTGCAACTGAAGCGCGTGCGTCTTGCAGATATTTTCCAGGATCACGATTCACATTCGCGGATCTCAGTTCTCCTTGTCTTGCCCCGGTAGAGCACCGCCGCACATTGGACGACGAGCACAATTGGTGAGAGACCCGAAGGCGCCGCTTAGACAGAGAGTCGTGGCTGGAAAAAGCTCGACGGTGACTTCAGATGTGAAGCAGAGGTGCAGGAGAAGCAAAGAGCTCGTGAAAGACAAGTGAGGAAAGCAAGTTTTGGCTGATGAATAAATTGGATGTTGCTATTAGACGTGTGGCCGTCTCGCCGGGACGAGAAATATGCCCCTTGCCGTCGTTCGCATAGAACAGCTGCCCCCTGGGCCTAAGGATGACTTCTTCCAGATAGGACGAAAGACTTGACACTGGAATGGTGGACTATTTCGACAGTGGTGTTGGGCAACCGGGAGGAGTTGGGTGGCAGCGCGATATGGAAGTCAAGAAGCACGATTGCAGTCTCAAGAAGTCCCAAGCTGGAGCGCCACCGGGATCGATCGCACTGAACAGATCTAATCGCATTCAACAACGTTATAGTAGACGGGAAATGGGATTATTAGATGTGTTCATAGCGACCGAAAGCTCTCTGAGTTACAGTATACACCATCTTAACAAAAGACGGGCTTCGAGATTTCCACGAACCCATTACAAAGTATCCTCCTGAGCGGACCGACGCCGCTCTGCAAAACCCAGTAGACCCCGTAATATGGTAAGAGGTCACAGTCGAAGCACTGGCGAGTCAAATGTCTCGAATCACACCCGATTGCATAAAGAAGTCTACTTTAATACCGTTCGTCATGCTAACACGCAATAGATGGGCTGGGTGAGATCGCAAGCCAGAAGCTCGATCTGCACGCACTGGGGTTTCCCGCGCTCAACAAGTCTGAAATCCCAGATTGCGGGTATGGTCCTGACCTTACAAAGGCGTGCTCCAAAAAGGTTCAACATCCGACTCCCTTCATAGCTCGAGCACTTCATAGCTCGATCACTCACTAAAAATGCCCGGTCTTCCTCGCCGGCCTCATCCCCCAAGTGCAGTCACCACAACCTGGAGAATGCCCATCTACTAAAACGCCGCCTTCGTTCTCCTCGGTCTCCTCCTCGAAACCATAACTAACCAAACTTTCTCCGACGCCTTCCACTCCCTAATCCTCAACCCCCTCGAGCTCCACCGCACCTCCATCATGTCCCCAGCAAACGACTCCAACGTCATCATCCCCGCGCCAGCGGCTAGGACGCCAATCTCGGCTTCGAAAGCCCCGCCGGCTTCTACGTCTCCACCTCCGACCTCAAAACCGCCTGCCTCTCGATCCTACACCACGCCCTCATCCCCACGTACATCACACGGGAGTGGATGAAGCCCTGTTCCAGCGCCGCCAACCCCCTCCAGATGGTCGGCGCGCTGTGGGAGATCTGGCGCATGAACAAACCGCTCTCGCCGGCGGTCAACTCGTCGAGTTTGGTACATCTGTACACCAAAAGCGGCGATGCTTGGGTCTACTCCTCGATGCTCGGGCTCGACGTCGACCACAGCATCGGCTTCAGCGTGTTGACTGCCGGCGGGCGAGGAAGCGGCGAGGGAGGGGGCAGACGCGGGTTATGCGGGGACATATACTAACGAGGCGACGATCACCACCGTCACATTCACGGTGGATGAGGACCGGCCGGGCCTCAACGTCGTGCACTTTGTTGCGAATGGGATGGATTTTAGGGAGACAATGCCGACGCTGTGTACGTCACAGACCCGACCCGCGAAATCAGCATACGGTTGTATCCGGTAGGGCTGGCGGATGGAGGCCTCGTCAGCTTTCGAGCTATTGTTGAGGCGCTGCCGTATTCAGCGGCAGCGACGAAGGGCGTGTTTCAGTCGAATGAGGATGTGTGGATTGGGGTTGATGGGGTGTAGTACGGTACTATTGCTGTGGACGCTTTTGTGTTCAAGCTAGGTGCGGATAGGGGGAATTTGGTGGAGGTTTGACCGAGGGCGGTGAGGGATAAGTTGGGGAGGGTTGACGGTGGTGGATGAAGGAATTTGGCCAATGATCTGGGTAATGTCCGATAGATTGGAGATAGATGGGTTTGATTCTACGAGAGTATGGAAGGTTAGTTCCTTTATCAACAAAGGTTCAAGTGGGATGAATGCATAGGGTGAATGGGATGTAATGCATGGGAGTTGATTGTTGATTGCCCTCCATCCTACAAAAGAGCGTTTTCGACATCGCCCGCAGATCCAACCCGTAGCCATCCTATTCCCTGCCCATTCCACCTCCCGCGAGTCTCCAAAGGTGAAGGCCCCTTATCCCCCCACCCTAGCCCCCCGAAAATATCTTCGCCTTCACCCTAACCCACTTCAACCTACCTATTTATACAATAAATTTCCACCCTCCTCTCACCCTTAGGGATCTGGCACCTAAGCGGGCTAAGTTATGGACCAGTGTACTATTACCTGTATCGTTGTACTGTTTCTTGTTCCTTGTACTACTTGCTGTTTCCTTGTTTGAGTTGTTGTTTGTATTTTTGCTCCGAAAAATCTTGAGTGCGGTAGTGTCCTGGGTTCGAGGCGCGACGTGAGTGTGGGTTCTTTTTTGAGATTTTGGAGGAGTTGTGTTCATTTTGTTTGGGGGGTTTAGGTTTCACAGTGAAGGGGGGATGACAGAGGCAACTCTTAGCCTGGCGATCCAGAATAGAAGAAGGGCCCCTAATGGACCTAGGGGAAAGATTATAGATGCCTTAACTTAGATAGGTCGCAAGTACAAGTTTACCTGAACATGTTTGTAGCTCTAATCACACATCTCCAAATATTCATACTTATAACGAATGTCGGGGCATTTACTTGTATTGTATCTGATGTCTCTACATGATCTGATCCTGATTTACAACACCCGAGTGCTCCAACCCCTCGAACTGGACCACCCTGTGCCGCGGGAGCGACCGTTTGCTTCGTACTGGATCTCGGCGCGGCCTGAACAGTTCACCCAAACCCTCTTCACTGGTTGACGGAGAAAGCTAGAGGCCTTAGCTTCTTGTGTAATAGTGAGGAGGTAATGAACTTACGTTGCGGACTTAGACGGTCTCGCTCTCTTCTCCGTCAGAGGTTGCGTAGTCTGTGAACTTGTTCCGAGGGTTGGCTGCGCCCTTCCAATACTTGTTATCACCCGAGGCCTCCAAATATCCCGCCTAAGCTGGGGCCACCTGGCTACCCAGGGCAAGCGGTGTACCTGGAAGAGCTGGTAGAAGAGGCAGTCCGAGTTGGACACAGGCGCGGATCCAACCGAAGAATTATCCGAATCGGAGGAGGCTTCTGCCGGAGCCCTGGGCTTCCTGCCTCGCAGTTGTCGGCCACCGGCAACCGGTTCCACCGTAAGCGTAGCTGGCACGATAGACTGTCTCTCTCGCTTGACACGAGGCCCCGAAACGTCCTCTGCAATTCAGCTCTTCGTCTGCCGATCCGTAGGAATGAGTAGCTTGCTCATCACCCGAGAAGCAATGGCCCACTCGATTTGCCGTGGCGGTGCGTAGGAGCACGCGACAGACTAGCAGACATGAACTTGCTCGAACCAGAAACGCTCTGATGGCCTTTCGCAGGATAGGGTGGTACGAGACGTGTTGAGTATGTCTGATTGCCTGATCGCTCTTACTGCAGCTGTTGTCGACACGGCTGCGGTTGGAGACTGGCGGCGGCGTCAGCAGGCTCACCGAAGCCACCAGCAAGGCCACCGACAACCTGCTCAGTACGGCGACAGGCCGCTTCACTACTTCACTGCGTTAGCTAGGAATTGAAGTGAAGGCTCACCAGCAGCACAAATAGTGAGCTGTACGAGCTGTGAAGAAACTTACCTCAAGTCGTCGTAGCTGCCAGAATGTCCACCCACACCCATTCTTGAAAGCAGTACCAGCAGCACCGTACCCCATCTTCGTGATTGCCGTCGTCGGGGTGAGGTCGGATTGGCACCCCAGCCCGCCTTATCGCTAGACCACATGCGAACGTCGGCCCTGGTCTGCCCTCGAAATGTTCCAGGAACTTGATGATGTGGGTTGGGGGTGTCAAGTTGAAAATGGCGTGGCCGGCGTTGGCGCTTGACCCGAAGTACATTCGGAGGAACACTAAGTCGATCAAGCCGCGGAACAGCCGTCGGTACTACCGTTGAATGGCTCAGTGAGGCCTTCGGACTGGCCCAGGGAGGTCGGCAACGCGGAGGATCTTCAGCAGTTGCATCTAATAGGAGTGTTAGTTGGTAGTGCACAAGGAAGGAAGAATTTGCTTACATCAGTCATCTTGTTCGGGATGTTCCGAAGCATGATAGTAGTTCGGACATCCGAGCCATCCAAGATGTGGACGTACGAGACGGCATTGTCGTGCGGATTCCAAGTACGTCCTCGGCGCCCACACCGCTGGAGAGCGAGAAAACGCTCTCTATCAAACCATAACGCAGGTGTCCTAAGGGGTAGCCAGGGCCGTCCAAGCCCGAACCGCTGCAGAGGAAAGGAAGCTCAGTTGATGTTCCGAAGGTGAGGGTTTGTGAATTGCGCAAGTGAGGAGCTGCGCAAGCTTCAAACGTACCTGGCCGTTGGACTGGCTGCTGCCATCTTGCTGAAGAGACTCGCACTGTAGGCGCTGTCCGCGGTGGGCGGTGTGAAGGTCTGACGGGTGTGGTGATGGTAGGTTGGATGGAGGATGGTGAGATGTTGGTGGGTTTAGCTGTGGGGTGACGCCGCCTTCGAGCTCGCGGCGGAAGTATTCTCCGCCTTTACCCTTTACAGCCTAGTAGTGGGCTGACAGCGTGTTGAACGTAGAATAGATGGCTCACTGGCAGCTCTGCGACTCTTGTGGCAGTGAGCAGGCAACCCAGCACGAGGGGGCTTTCACTCCAAGGGTTGTGAAAGACAGAGCCACGGCAGGAAACTTCTTCAACTTAAAAAGCGTAGAGCTCTTTCGCAAGCTGACTGTGAAGAAGTCGGCTCATAATGACTGGCGGGTTTGTTCCGATTGTTTGCCTCAGTGGTGCAGGACGCAAAGAAAAACATATTCTGCATTACGGGAAGACCTTCGCGACGTTTACGATTTACAGCCCGAAAACTTCCAGTCTATCTGCAAGGTGGCACTATTGACATCTAAAATCTTTCAAATATTGAAATAAGTAGTAACCTGAATCCTGCCGGCACTTGAATCCTCAACTATCCTATGCCCAATTGATCGACCATCACTATTTTCCACTTTAGATTTAGAAATGGTTATTTAGACGCTCATTTAAATCATGAGGCCTTGCAGCCTCGTAACATACCTGCCAGTCGAGAGACTAGATCGTCCTCTCATAGGTGACCGGGCATCTACCAAAACGCTGATGCCGAACACTGCTCCGTATCACTAGTTTGTCGTGCCATTCGGAGCTGACGGCACTGTTTCGTGGCTGTCGTATCTGGGAAAGTTGTCCGATGTTTCTTCTGTTGCTAAAGATGGTGACCTGGGAGGTGACATGGAGCCGGATTGGCAGTGCGCCAGACGCTAGAGGAGACGAAGAAACATGGGCGTGAAGGAAGCACAAAGAGAGGTGCTGTGAGAGAGGGGAGAGAAGGCTGTGAGGCGCAAACGTGGAGGGCGCATCAGACTGCTGCAAGTTGTTAGACCTTTCCAGCTTAATATGGAGTCTATGTTACGCACCCGTTGAGCTTCCGCAGGCTCTTCGCCATCTTCTCGTTGTTTTTACCCGTCTAGATCATGACTTCACGAAGATGATAGTGTCAGTGTCTGTAAGGTCCAGTTCTAGACCGCCAACGCTAATCGTCAAGAGTAGGACGTCGTAAGAGGGGTCTGAGTTGAATTTGTTGATGATGTCCTGGCGCTTGCAGGCTTCGACGCCGCCATCAAGTCTCATGTACTGCACCGATGGTAGGAGCTTTCGCAGGACCTCGGTCTGCACTATGTCCAGTGTCTTTTCGTTTGACAGAAGATGAGCGCGCGGTGTTCAGAGACGGCTTCTTGTACGATGATGCCAGGAACACCCTTGGCTAGCAGGCAGGATGACTGATAGGTGACTGCAGGAGGTCAGCATGTGCTTGCTCGGGTCTTTCGGCTGAAGAGGGAGGAATTTTGGAAGCGCTTCAGAGTTTGTAAATATCAACAGGTTATGGTTTCTTTAGCCAGGGATAACTGAATAAAAAGTCTCATTATAGCGAATCCGGGTGTGTGTAAATGTACAAAGGCATAGAGGCAACTTACTAGAGGCTTTTATCATCCGATGAATTACGTACACGTCCAATGGCTCCTGGTTTCGTGACATGGGCTGTATCCGCGACGGTGGCGCGCATGAGACTAGCTGGTTCCGTCTCTCCGTGTCGGAAGTCTGATCCGTCGCAAATCTGGACAACGAAGTGTATCGATTCTGGGCGCTGGTATAGGATCATGAAGTTTTCGTCGTTGCACTTGCTCTCCACAAATAGTGTCTCTACGTAGTTCTTGGTGCACGGCTTGCTTGAGATCGAGGATGAAATGGTCTGTCGGGGACCTCGTGGGGCGCAAGAGAGGTAGATGTGACGAACGCCTGTAGCATGCGGCACGGATTATCGATTCGGCTGGGCCAAGGAATTCGAGAGAAAGACTGTAAACGGGTCAAGTTGGCAACTGATCGCCTTAATTTTGGAGAAGCCAGGGCCCGCGGAGGTGGCAGAGTTCCACGTAGGAGTGTTGCACTGTGCCGCTCAGCCAGGATAATATCGACGCCCGACTTCGCGCACTTCATCACCCGGCACAGACTGTACGAGTGCGGTAAGAAGCGGTCCTAGCAAGCGGGTTGGCACGCTACCGAGTCGTGCATGGGTAGGTGGTGTTGTGATCGTTGCTAGGAGTGCTTTAGGAATCCTTCTACATCCACTCTCCGCTGTTTTCATCATGAGCTCATGCTGTATCGAGAGATGGGTTCTAGAGTATGGAAACTCAGGAAAGCCGGGTTCTTTGAGCCCTGGTGGCGCTCGGCGACAGAACGCCGCCCTGCATGTGAGTCGAGGGGTTCGCCGAAACTCAGCGAGGTGGCCCAGTGGGGCTGCTTCGAGGTGTCCATCGTTCCATTCTCCGTAGAGAGCGGTTGAGGCTGGCGCCGAGACCGACCACATGCACACTATCCCTTCACGCGCTGGCGTTTACATTGGTCATGTAAGCCAACATATGGCGAATCGCTAAGCCAAACGGCTAGCCCTTAATTAGCGCGTCCTCATCGATAATCTATGAACGCAAGATGTCATGGAAAGGGGTAGCGGGTAGCGTTGGTTGTAAGCTGAGAGTTTGTCCATCTGGCCCTCCATCTCTTTCATGACAGAGTTGAATTCGGTCAAGGTGAGGCCTCGGGTAGGAGCTGCAGTCTTCCTCTCGTTACATGAACGCGGAGAGCCCATGGCGGAGGCGCGGTCGCCGGAGCTGAGCACGGGCATTCTACTCCGCATTTTAATGACTGTTCTGCTTCCTTCCTTGGGTACGTTTGAGGCTTCCATATCATCGAGGCTAGTTACTGGTGTTTTGCCATGGCCTTCCTGATGACTACGCGTAGATTCAGGAACGTATAGTCTTAAAGTCGGCTCGGTATGCCGAGGTCAATGAGCCACGCGAAGCAGCTGGAGATCGCGACAGCGTTTGCGACAGTTCGAGAAGGGCATGTTGTCAAGGAAGGCTTGCCGTAGTCTCCCTCTTGTTGCGGGTCGCACGGCTGAGACGACGGACTGGAAGCTTATTAGGGCCGTCAGTATCCTCAGTGTTGTCATGTCTCATGATGCTTGAGTCACCTGGTGAGGTGCTGCAAATCTTTGCGTCTATCAAGTCGGATACTGCAATGTCAAAATTGCCCTTGGCTACTTCAAATGCGTTCTTGATGGTGCGCTCATCTACAAAGAAGAGGATTGAGATGGCGGCTGGCTTGAGTATTCCTAGCTCGGTATAAAAAGTGGTGGAAAGCTTGTTGTGCTGCGTCTTCTCTTCTTCATTTGTGAGCTCAATCATCTGAATGTTCGGCGCGCCCGTGTGGGTTCATCGATGCTGCGTTTTGACCGGATGTGGTCATCTTCAGAATGTTGAAAGGGCTGAGGCGGAAGTATACACAGAATGGACTGAGCGGAGTTTTCCTAGCCCCACTACCCAGGGACCTCCGCGACAGCCAAGAGGGACGTAGGCTTCTATCCTCCCAATCTTCCCTACCCAGGGCGAGTGTCCTCGGCGGCTGAAGACGTCTTCGGTCAGTGAGAGAGGAACGACTTCGTGCGCTGCGTGGGCTCTCTCTGCCGCGGGAGCAGTTGGCGGTTGGCACCAGCAGAGCGGCAAAAGGCCAAGAGGCAACCCGGCGGCTGCGCCCAGTCCGATTTTAACGACCGTAGTTGGCTTGATCAACGGCAATAGGGAGTGTTTGCCCTCGTCTCAGATGCACGGGATTTGATATTGTACGCAACCCGAGAGTCTGCGGCCTTGTTCTCATACGTCTAGTTGATGCTCGTGTACTTTTACTCCGATAAGACAGTTCCGTTGTCTCGTGGGAAATCAGGTCGTCGTTGCTGCGGAGCTCTCCCTTGCGCGCGTCGTCGAGTTGTCATACCAGTCTTCCCCATCTTCGGCGCCTCGCGTAGCTGGATTAGATAGTAGCGTAGCTTGCGCCGCCCTGTCGTTTGAGGGAAAATGAGCGGCTCTTGTACATCATCTAGCGCGCCATCTTTTTCATACCTTTTCCGTGTTTGATGTCGATGGGGTGTACGACGGGGTGCCTGGATTGGCGGAGTGGCACGCTCCCACGTTGAGGAAAACACGGTTGAACATGTTTTGGAAAGAGTGTGGGTTAGGTCGTTCGAAGGTCGAAGGCTCTGTGCCAGACCATGCGGGTGGCGGAAATGCTGGGAGACCTGCGGGCTTTGTAGTTCCATGGTGTGTTGCCTAGTCTCAGTTTCTTTTCGCGATTGAAAGCGCGCATTCAGGTAACCTGGAATAGCGAAGATGATGTGTAGGTGTTGGTTCTTGCTCGCGAGAATCTTTTGTGTCCTTTTGCTTTGGAGTACCGCCGTACAAAACGGCTGTCTTGCTCCACAGCATGACCAAACGCTCCATCCTCATAGCTTTGCGCTGGCGAAAAAGAGACAGGTTAGCATAAGCATCAAAGGCTAGCAGTTCCGAGTTGCACGAGCTGGCTTACCTTGCAGCAAAGGCTTTTTCCGGTCTCCGCGGTGCGGTCACCTTCCTCTTCAGGCGGTTGAAGTAGGGCATGACGTTGTTCGAAAGGCTAACAGTGCGGTCTGGTGCTATTCAGGCGAAGGATCGTAGGGCAGAAGTGTCGAAGATTTGTTGTTGATGGAGCTTGAAGGTGGGCTGCCGTGTTTTTGGGCGAAGGCGGCTTAACGTCTCATACGCGAATAGCGGGAGCGCTTCGAAATTACGGGAAGTCAAATCACTCTTCACAACATGAGTATCTAAGAATCGCATCTTGGAAAAGGCTCGTTGGGTAGCAGAATAAACGCAATAAACACAAGTTATTATTCTTTCTACTTTTGCGCAAGTACCCTCTTCTACCTACAATGATTTATATGCAATGCTATCTCCACGAACTTGCAAAATGAGATTTAACACGGATCGGAATGAAGCGTGGTGTTTTTTTGAGTCTGGAGTAGACATAAGATCTGAATCTCCTTTCTTACATTCATGAGACACCGAGCGGAGGTAATGGGCGAGTGGATTGAGTAGCTACGTATAAGTCCGAAAATACCATGAAGTAATTTTGCATTTTTTTATGTAATGACGGCTCCCATGCCGTAGATTAAGATGGTTGACTTAGAGTAACAGCCTCTCCAACGAACACATACCGTAAAGAGTCCTGAGGAAGTTGCGTCCGTCCAGCAAAACCTACTTTAGCGTCAGAGCCCAGGGGAAACTCAGTACCATGTCGTTGGAATAAAAACCAGATATCGTGACGTATGCTTTGAAGTGAGTTTTTAATCTAATTGGGCTATCATTTCATCTATCGCAAGAGGTGTTCGAGAATTTGCGCTAACGGTTCTAATGGTATTGGTAACTTTCGTGGAAGTTGGTGTCCAAAAACGGGATCCCCCGCAAGACGCAGAGCCTCTTCTCCGTCAGGTAACATTATCATACACATTGCATGTTGCGCAAATCGGAAGCAAGCCGTGACTTGCATGACAATAGAAGACCATCGTCTACTTCCGGGTCGCTATAACCCGCTGAACTAACTCACAATGAGACTTGTAGAGGCTGTAAAACCATGCAACCGGGCCTAGCCCGCCCGACTGCTCGCAGGAATCCAGAGTATACCGAGCGAAAGCAAGTTCAAGTCGAAATCTACTACGTCCCAGAACAAGAAAGCAAAGGGGAGGGAGATATTCCTGAAGCTAAACTCTCAGGCAAGCATAAGCAAAAGCCCTTAAGACAGAGTCGCCATTGCTAGTCACTGTCGCCGTGCCGGAAAATAAAACCAAGAATGCAAACACAAAGGACGTACCTGAAAGCCAGGGCCCCAAGGAGGATAGGATGGATGCGCAGTTTGGGATGCCCTCCATATGCAGAGCCACATGATACATCCATCGCCGAGGTACGATGACGTGCGAAGATTAACGCTCTTGACTGGTCGAAAGATGAAGAACTAGTCATCTTTTCTCGATGAAGTTTCCTGCTCTTCGTGATTCGGGCATCGGTGGTCGAAACGCGATGTTTTGCTGGTACGAGTAAACCTGATGTCTTCTAAAATTCCAGAAAGCTCACCCGCTCACTACATGCGATGTAGCATGCAGGTCGTTCTGCATTCTGAAAATTCCTTCTCCTCAATGCCAGCAGGCGTAGTCTAGCCCTCCGGCAAGTAGGCAAGTTCTGGGAGTGTGCTGCCAGGATTATCAATCCTCGAATGTTGACAATGTCGCCATTTATAGGGAGAACCCGGGAATGAAAAAGCTTATGAGGACTTGCGGATCGTGTTGGATCATCCAAAAGTGTCCTGAGCTCATGTGATTCACCAGAATCACCATTCCACCCCTTGAGTGTATCAAGTTCTGAGTGCATCTGAGACGTCGTAGCGCCATGAATGCAAAAATGTTTCTTCGCCGGCTCAAGACGTGGATATTGAGGATGACTTGTCCGACATGTCCCGATGTCGTCTACTGCTCCGTTCGATTCGACAAGCCGTGTGTTGGTAGTTTCGAAAGTGCGAGGGGAGGTCGGAGAGGATGGGTAGGTTGGTGCCGGAGCGGTTGACTTCGACGTAGGCTGACCGGCGTCTGCTTAGCGCAGTATACCCGTGATAAGGTAGGAGGAGGGCAACGTGTCTGGCTTTATGCACGCTCTGTCTGCGTTAGTCAGCTAGATGCTCCAAGAAGGGGGCCCGAATTGCAAACCTGAAGTCCAGTATCGCCCGCTGAACCAAAAGCAGATTTACAACAGTATGTCGCACACGACTATGCCTCTGAAAGCCGTCTGGCCTTCACCATGTGGTTTCATCTTTCAATTTGCGCAAATATCCTTTTGCCGCACATATCAGGGGCCTACAGCAAGCATTCTGCTTCATCCTTCCCATCGTCTGAAGGCTGCCAGCAAACTCAAATATTTACCATGGTCGTAAGATGGTTGTTGGGCTGATTGTGGTTGAATGATGCAACTTGCTCACATGTATCCGCTACCTTGGTCGACCATGCCTCCGTTCCAAACATGAGTCCAACGCTCCGTCGCTCCTTGGGTCAAAATGAGACCAACTGTGATGACAACCAGTCTTTCTCCATCATGTGCTCGTCCAACTGGTAAGCAATGTGACGAGGAGACGCTCTGAATGCCCAGCTTTCAGTTTTGTGGTCTCAAACTCTTTCCAAGGACGGTGTGTCTGCGAACGACCGGGTACTGTCTCTTGCCAGGACCCTCGTGAGTCCAAGAAGAGCATCGATCCGACTACGGCAGTTGGAAAGATGTTCCCTCTCGGGCTTGCCGTACCTCTGTGGCTTCCGCCGGGCTGTTCCGACTGGAAGTTGTGGTCAAAGGAAAGCTCGAAATGCCACTCGTGCTCGCGCTCGCGCCCGTACTGCTTGGGAGCGGCTGGCACAAGGGAGAACGCCCACGACTCCTGCTGGCCCTGTTCCGAAGAAGCGAAAAAGGTTGTAGCTAGGTGCTTTGGACATGGGCGACACGGCTATCATGGTGGAGGGGGGCGTCGGGAGAAGTGGTGAGAGGAATGTCGCCGTCACAACAATCAGCTTCTATCAGCGGCCAGCCTGGGTAGCTCGTCAGTTACCGTTCAAAGAGAGGGATGGGAAGTAGATGGCAGACCTATAGCCTAATAGCGCTCCCTCATTTGATAATGGGAAAGACGGCGCCTGACGTGCGATGAATGAAGAAGTAGTCTCATGGCTCATTACACGTCCTAATGCAGGGCATGCCTCTAAGGCAGCTGTTTATCCTCCTCTTCAGCTGCAGATCCACAGGTTTTCCCATGCCTTCTCCCGGCGGTGCTTGCTTCGCCGACTTCGTTGGCCACACAGCGGTCTCCACGCGGCGGACGGTATTGGCAGGATTATCAATGACGGAATGAGAGGATTTCAGCATCTGTGCTGTCGATGGAGGTCAACATCGCGTGCGAGATCTTTGGGGTGGCGTCCTGCTGTGGACGAAGAGGAAGTCGGGCTTGGTCGCAATGGCGAGTCCTTCCATACAGCATCGACTGTAGGAATGTCCACTGCCTTAGGAACGCAAGGTAGAGCGCCAGAGGTAGAGCAGGGCAAAGGAATAGTACAATTTAGGAGTTGGCGTCGCCGTGGATGCATGCGTGGCGGGTTGCTGGGCTACGCCTCGCGTCTTGCGAGAGGCCTCAATAGCAAACAAATCCAGACGGTCTCTGCTAGTAGAGAAAGCAGAGAGTAATGCCAGCAAGGCTCTTCCGTTGATAGAGAAGATACAATCAAGCTCTCCAAAGTCACGTCACCATAAGGATACGCAGACATGGACGCGCCTTGAACGCGCTCAACACCACAACAAAGCATCGCCAGCATCAAGCAGTACAAGCAGGACGTTACATTAGCTCGGATCGAGACAGCAACAAGAGAAAGAAGCATGAGTAAAGGAACAATCGATTGTTTCTTCTTCAAGTTCCCGCGCAAGGCGAGAAGCTCAATGAAAAAAAGTGGTGACTATGTCACAGAAGAGTTCATTGGAAGTGATCTGCCTATCCGAAGACAAGCCATCGACCTCCGCTGAAACTGAAGACTCCGAAGAGACTTTGAAAATAGGCCGCCCCAAGAGAAAGAGAACAAGATCCGGTGGAAGAAAGAGAACAAGTTTGTCGCCAGTCGCCGTCGCCATACTATACCTTGCCGCGCCGTGCGGAAAAACAAAACGCTGGAGGGGGATCACGTACCAATGCACCAAGAGGTGAAATCCCCGAAGGGAGGTGGATAGGCGGTCTCGCATGCGCTCCATACCTAGAGCCACCTGAGAAGAGGAGAAAAAAATATTGTTGTGAGGAACAAGTGATGGTGAGTTGAGTGAGAGTTGGTGGGCGGTCGACAGCCTTTTGTACTGGAAGATTTCCTGCGAAAGCTAAGCGAGATCATGGCTTGGCAGGCAGGCCGGCAGGCAACAGCGCTACTTGGAAGGGTGTGGAAGGTCATGGAAGCGGGCAGGTGAAGTGTCGGCTATTGTCGGCGCCGATGTGTGTGCGGGAGAGCTGGCAAGCGTAGTTCAGCCACTGTTGGCATGTGAACGGCCACCGGAAGGCGGACGGGCAAAGGAAAGAGGTTGGGAGACCACGGCACTTCACTCCTGGGGCACAAATGCCGGCATTCAGTAATATTGGCAGCGGGAGGAATTGCCAGGTTACGCTGTGAGTGCTCATAATGCATAGATCTGTAGAGAAAAGAGCACTTTTCCGCTCCTAGGGGGGATGGAGACTATGACCGCACGTAGCCATAGCCATGATCCTGATCAGCATATGATTCACCTCTTGTAATGCTATCTTTCTAGTTCTCCCAATCTACTGCAGTGCTGTAATTGTTCGCCAGCCCCTGGTACGCCGCACGGGAGGGCGCCACAATCCGAAAAGTGGCTGGTGTGCAATAGCGCAGAGGTATCACCTGTACCAACACACGATCACTTCGTTGCCACGTGGAGGGTGCCATGAATCTATAGAAGCTTCTCCGTGTGTGTAATACTTTCGAGGAAATCGGAAAGAGAAGACCTTGCTCACTGACGGACGGGTCATGGGTACAGGGGGCGCTGCGATCCAAGTCTCGGGCTGGGAGAGCTGCTAAACAACATGACCACTGAGCAAGCCGCGGAGAGTCTTATGGAACCGTCCATATACCACCGAAACTGAGTGCTGCGATGTAATACTTTTGAGGCATATGGTGTTCACTGACGGACCGGCGCCAGATGACGCTCAGCTGCGTTGAGCGCTCAGGCCGGCACCAATTCTCAACGCAATGACAACATAGCACTCCACTGAGAATATGATGGTATTCATAGTTATCTAGCATCTTCGTATATGTCGATCCGAGATCCTTTCCGCCTGAAATGATTCACTGGGGTAGGGCGAGCAGGTCAGGGGCGGCATCATTCCCTGACAACGCAGCGACTTAGAGCCACGAGGGAGATTGCGGAGCGCGAGGGAGCTTCATATGGTTATTTTCATTTCAGGTACAAAGCCCTTCGGTTTGAATCTACTCACTAAGGTACGCGCGATGTGCGACTGCGAGCAGCTCGCTGGTTGCTCTGGATTGGCCCAATTATCCACACCATGGTGACCTGACTCGACACGAAGCATAATCTAGGGTGGCGAAGTTGTCGCCAATACTTCACAAGTTGATGAAGAAACAACAGGATGAAAATCTACTCATCGAAGCATGTGCGTTAGTCGCGAAAGGCGCTGCGCGGGCGACTCAGGGCCGGCGCGGGTTTTCAACGTCACATCTTGAAAACACCATGTCAAGGATCTTCTAACTCTTCATCATCACCTCAACGTCCAAACCAAAGCTTTTACCATTATTTGCTCAAAGATGAACTCACTGCGCGAGGAACCTTCCTGGCCCGCCTTCCCAGCCTCCGAATCAGGTACGAGATCTCTGCTACATATGAGTTACGACATCCCCAGGCCCGTCCTTTCTTGAAGAATGTCAAAGACTGCATCTACCTAACCTTCTACACCACCGACTTGCCTCGGTTCGCCGCCTTCATCCACCGTTGCATCTCCGAAAACGCGAAGCCCCAAAAGCAGACGAACGCCGCCTCAACTTCGAAACCATTCTCATCCTCCTATTGCTCTCGAATATTCAGACCTACAAATTCCTCGTATTGAGACAGCTACTCGCGCTCCATCACCGCATGGCGACTCACCACCTTCGAACACACACTTCAGACACTCTCAGATGGCGGGCTTCCATCTCCAACCGTACGCAGGGTGTCATGCCTCCAAGACATGTAGCGGCGCCCTTTCCTAGATACTACACTTTGCAAGGCATATATAGGGTTACTGAGAGCTTCTCCCCTTGCGAGGCGGAAGGAACTGAAGCTGTCATCCGCGTCACCGAAACTATTCCCTGCGACAGCAAGAAAGCCACAGAACAGGCCACCACTGCCACCGATATCTTCTGCGCCTTCGCCGCTGAGCCGGCCGACACCATGAAATAGGTCAAAACTTCCAAAAGCTTGACGGCGTCTCCGCTACAACATTTGCTTATCACACAAGTAACGTGCCGCCACGCCGATCTCTTTGGGAGCAGGTTTACGACGCTGAGCGGGACGATGATCTCGAGGACGAAGCCGTATCACGAGAGGAAGTCTCTACATGGAGAGTGTGATGCTGGTGGCCTTGCGTGGCAAGAAATATCGGAGGGAAGAGTAATATGTGCTCTGTGGAGGGCACAGTTTCGTCCCTAGCGTCAGGGCTCCTTAGTTTCCTCCCGAGGACGGCCTCGGCCGTGCTGGACCTCGCGTTCATGTCTTCCCTTGGCAAGGCAGTTCTGCCACCTGCAGTCATGGTGGACATGGACGCAACATTGATCGGTTTTGGAGCGCCATCGTCGTTACAGGGAACCTATAGCGGGGATACTAGTAGAGCAGCGTGGGAATTTCAGCTATTGCTTGGTATTCTGCTAGTACACTGGGCGGATTTGAGTGTTGGTTGATAATACAGATGCTCTAGTCTGCACTCATAATGAAAACTTGCTGTGATATGTGTTGCTACGAGATATCCTTATTGCATGGAGCATTAACCAATTTGGTTCTCACAGACATGTTCCCAATTAGTTCGCCAAGTTTGGTTTCCAAAGTATACGTATGCCTGCCATTTCGCATTCCTGCCTAGTATAATTTGGCCTGCAACAACACCTCCAAGTCGTAGAACCTCATCTGACCCTCCTTGCCATTCCAATTGCGTGTAGAGGTGATAGACTCTTGTATCCAGTCCTATGCGTCAACGTGTGGACCAGTCAGGACCTGATCTAAAGTCCCTCGCTCGAGATCTGCGCTCTTTGATCCTGCAAGTTCCCTTATGAGCCCATGCTCAACGCAAATTTGACGAGGCGGAAGCTGTGTCTTATCCTTTGCCTTTCGAAGTCCTCCGATCTCCTGTTGAAAGCTACCCTCACTTCCGGCTTGCCTCCCGCGTTGATAATGGTGCGGTGGCTGCGGACTTGAAGCCTGCAAGCTATCTTCGAACGAGCTGTGCTGGTCGGCTAGAGTATTGATTGACCGTGAGGAAGATCGGCGTCGCCGCTCGCATGGTGAGCGGGTCGCGCTTGACGCTGTTCAACACGGGTTTCTTCATATCCTCGTCCAAGAGGCCCTGCATGAAGGTCTTGTAGCGGGCCTGGTAAAATGGTGCTCAAGCGGATGTGTGTTGACGACCTCTTCCTTGCCCAATACCTGGAAGAAGACCATCTATCCGATCACACTGATCACGAGAGTATGCTAGCCTTATGGCGTCCAGTATGGTCCCTACGAGGGCAGATGCCGAATCTTAAGGAGAGAATGGGAGTGCGGCGGGATGAAGGTCTCTATCGTACTTAGCCTACAGCACAAATGGTAAGATGCCCACAAGATGTCAGAAGACTTCATTAGGTAAAGACTCAAAGGAAAGAGAACCTACTTTTCAATTCCATACACCGTCGTGCGCCCAGTATATCCTGGTGGTATAGGCCCAATCATCTCATGGCGCAACCGGGTGCGCAGGATCACGCCCAAGAAGACATCCATGTAAATAGGAGTATAAAGCGCGACTTATTTGACTAGGTGATACGAGCTACGCGGCTTGTATAATATGAGGTCCGTGGTGAAGTCCTTGATCTCGGGATAGCAAGAGGGCTGTCTTGGGCTTTGTTGATGGTATGGTAAGCTTTTCAGAAAGGCATATCTTCATGCCTCTGACCGATGTTGGTATGACTCGCATTCAAAGAGGATATGAAGAGAGACTTGACCTGGCGCAGTCGACTTCGCGGAACTCAAGCGGTTCGCACAGGGCTTTGCGTCGAATGTAGAAGTCGGCTGGCGGAGCGAGAACAGTGTACGCACATGTTTCATCGCATATTTTTGAGCATTAAAAGCACTTGGAAAACATACTCGGGTGGCGGATACCTGTATGATTGTGCAGAGGGTTCAGGTTCCTTCAGCAGACGAGCCGACCGCTCCGGACTCAGAAGCTCCTTGGAAAATATCGATACAGCTTGAGATTGAGAGATCCGTAGTAGTGACATCATAACATTTTTCCGGGGAGATATATGCCGAAGTCGTAGAGGGAGAGCCGGCCTTCTGTTCGCATTTTCATCGCAGAAGTGCAGCAGACATGCGACCGTCAGTGACCCATTATGAGGGAGCAGAAGGCTCAGAAAACATAGATTGCAGTGAGTGAGCTCTTAATACAGAGCGAATCGCCCTGGTAACGTGTAAAGTGGAGTGAACAAAAAATAGCAAAAATAAAGAGCTGCCGTTGGGCGGCTCGAACTCCGGCTAGTGAAACAAAAAGTGCAAAAAAAATGTTGAAAGCTCACTTTAATAAAGCGTGTCATCCTTAGTGCAGGGGCCATGCTAATCTTCTCTGTGTTGTTTCAAATTAACCAAATGCCCGAAGGCGGGAGGTCTTATTTTGTAGGAAATATATACCCTAAGACAACGCCCGTTTGCTGCCAAGGCCACGAAATATTATGCAAGCCACGCCACCCGCCGCAGACCTCTGCCACGACTTTTACACTTCTTAATACGGCGAATTTTCTACGTTACTCCTATAGGATACCCGTTTAATATTCCCTTTATATTAAGAACGAGCTTAATTACCACCCCTCTATTCTTTCTATAGCTTTTTCTTTTTCTTTTCCTAGCCCCCCCCCTATATTTAGCCTAGCTCCGGCCCGTATAAATATTATTCTACTAATTAAACTTACTTACTTACCTCTATATAGACTGCGTAAAATAGAAAGTATATATTATAAAATAAAAAGGCTATATTATCGGCTGTATTATCTGCTATATTATTTAGGCTAATAGAAGTCTATTTACTTTATCTACTAGCTACCAGCGGGCTACTCTACTAGCGGAAGGCGCCTAGATAGCTACTATCTAATTACTAACTAAAAAAAACGCTAACTATACCTATATACTAAGGCCTTATAGCTATTACTTTACTATAAGTAGCCTTTTTCTTAGGCGTAGATATAGGGGTATTTTTAGAGGCTAGTTAGCTATTAAAAACTAAGGAAATAGAGCCCTAAGTAGCTATTAAAGTGCCTGCTTATTTAGCAGAGAAGTTTAGTACTATATTTATAAACTATATAGGATTATTAAATATAATAATAGTCCGCTTAACTACTAGTATACCTATAGAAACACCTGCTATAGTAATTTAGCTAGCCTATATTATAATCTATATTAATTATATTAGTTCCTGTCTACTTATAATACTCTGCTTTTATTATATATAAGCAGTAGTTTTATAAGTTCGCCGGAGATATAATATTCCTCCACGTAATCCTAGTCCTCTACTATACTATTATACTTACTATACTATATTTACTATATTTTATTAAGTATTAATTTCGAATTAAAATTAATTATATTAAGTTAAGTTAATAGATATAGATATATAGCTATAGCTATAGCCTGCTGCTATTTAATAAGGTATAGTAGAGCCTATTAGCCGGCCTTTACAACGCTGTATAATTACTAAAGCCTTAATAAAAAAAAAAGGATTTATAGAAAGGTCTACCTTATTTAGAATAGAATAATTAAACTACTAGTATTAATAAATATCCTCTAGTATAACTTTATACTTAGCTATTAATATAGCGTGCAGTTTTTAGTATATTTTATAATAGTATAGCATACTATACGTCCCTCTAAATATTCTATTATATATTAGGTTAAAATTATTATTCTTAGCCTTTTTAATCTGCTTAGCAATTAATCGGAGGCCCTGCTTAATAGCTTTTCTAATAACCTTACTAAATTTAGGCAGCTTTACCTTATACTAAGAAGCTTTATATTATCGGCTAAGCTAGTTTTTTAGCTCTACACCTTAGCGGTAAATATATTAAAATAGTAGTATATTATTATTATTAAATTCTATTACGCTGGTGTAGCTCCCGTTAGGGTCCATGCAGCTGTTCTATCTAGGCTAGTTTACAAGGAGAAACCGTTTGCTGCCATGCAGCGTTCGGATGAAAACCCCGTCCTCTGCGGTGTATAGCGCTGAGCGCTCTTCTCGTTGTTGTATAGCTATTGGGGACACGTGGTAGATCTATCAAGCCCACCACGGAATAAGCCATCGTGATGCGTCTTCCTAAATCTGTCCGGGTTTTGCAGTCGTCCTCCTAGGCGCGGGTCGAGTTGATTCCGGAGTAGTGAGCTGGTTTAGGATTAGCGTGAGGGCACGCGTGCTGTCGTTT